CACTGAAAGAATGTCTGGCTGTATTCTTCAGCAGGGCATAAGTTCCACAGGGTGAATAAACTGCTTTCAAGTAAAAGAGTAAGGGTTATAATTAAGAGTCATTTGATAAGTCTTAGTAAAGCCTTTTTGTTATACTTCCCAGAAAGGGAGAAAGCAAATCATTCTAATAGCTTGGTAACAAATCTTTTTAGGTCAGGTCATTTCTAATCCATTGCTTGCAAGAAATTTGAAAGGAGATCTCAATAAACTGTCACTTGATAGACCATTAAAATTATTTTTTATGACAATAATAAATTATTTTTGTGACATCTGGACAATAACTCATGAGTTCAATAATTGAGTGGCATCACTATAACAAACTTCTTTCATTCCCATCTAAATATTTGTGTAAACAAGATAGTTCAGCACTTAAAACTATAACAAGGAAATATAGGAATCAAAACAATGTTAAACAATGTCTCATTCTAAAAATAATATATTCATCCACAAATAATGAGATCCCACTCATCTCATTTAACACCAAATAGGTTAAATGCCAAAGAAAACACCTCAAAAGACACCAGAGGGAGGAAAAACACCTGACCTATACAAGAGCAAGGTTAAAAATTACATTGGACTTCTCCACAGAAATGACACAAGCAAGAAGAGAATAGAGTGAAATATTTATAGTGTTGAGAGGAAACAACCCACCTGCCCACCTAGAATTCTGTACCCTACAAAATTATCCTTTAAAAGGAAAAGAGAGATAAAGATTTCCTCAAACAAAAATTGAATAAATTTGTTTCCAGTAGACCTGACTTGTAAAAAATGTTTTAAAAAGGTCTTCAGAGGGAAAAGAAAAATTCTTCAGAGAGAAGGAAAATGATGTAAGTCAGAAATTTGAATCTACATAAAGAAGAGTAGAGAATGAAAAGTTAAGATAACTTGTATTTGTCTTATTCTTAATTCATCTAACCGATAACGCTTTGTTCCAAACAATAACACCAACAATGTATTCAATTATGTATTAAATATATATGCTTAAATATATATGCTTACATATAAGCGAAATGAATGACAACAATAATTCAAGGGATGGGAGGGAGGAATTAGAAATATTTTGTTATTATAAGGAACTTGCACTACTGGTATAGTGTTATTTGAAAGTGAACTTGGATTAGTTAGAATGTATATTGCAAACCCTAGGACAACCACTAAAAAAGTGAAAAAAGAAGTATAATTGATATGCTAAGAAAGGAGAGAAAATAGAATCATATAAAATGTTCAGTTAGAACCACAAAAGGCAGAAAGTATGTAAGACAAAGTAGAAACAAAGAACTAAGGCAACAAATTAAACAGAAAACAATATGGCAGATATTAGACCAACTATATCAATAATCACTTTGAGTGTCAGTGGTCTAAATTTACCCATTAAAAGACAGAGCTTGTCAGAATGATCATAAGATAAGACCCAACTATATGTTGTCTTTAAGGAACCCACTTTAAATATAAAAACACAGATACATTAAAAGTAAAGGGATTGAGAAAGGTACACCATGCTAACAGTAATCAAAAGAAAGTGGGATTAGCTACATTAATTACATACAGAGCTGACTTCAGAGCATGGAAAGTTTTCAGGGATAAAGAGGGACTTTACATAATGATAAAGGGGTCAACGCTCCAAGAAGATGGAACAGTCCTTAATGTGTATGCACCTAACAACAGAGTCAAAATACATGAGCCAAAAACTAATAGAACTTCAAAGAGAAATAGATGAATCCACTATTATAGTTGGAGACTTGAATACCCCTCCATCAGAAATGGACAGATATGGCAGGCAGAAGATGAGTAGGGACATAAACTCAACAGCACCACCAAACAACCAGATATAATTGACATCTACTGACTACCTCAAACAAACACAGGAGAATACACATTCCTCTCAAACTCACATGGAACATTCACCACGATAGACTACATTTTGGACCATAAAACACATAAATAACGATTTAAAAGAAATCATATGTCTGATTCCAAAGTACTTGTAGATTAAACAACACACTTCTAAATAACACCCAGGTCAAATAATAAATTTCAAGAATAATATTTAATTATTTTGAATTAAATGAAAACACACTTATCAAAATTTGTGGGATGTAGTGAAAACAGAGCTTAGGGGGAGATTTATAGCACTGAATATCTTATTAGAAAAAAGATTTAAAATCAATAATCTAAATCCCCACCTTAGGGAACTAGAAAAAGAAGAGCAAATTAAATCCAAAAGTAAGCAGAAAAAAAGAAATAATAAAAATCAGAGCATAAATCGATGAAATTGAAAACTGGATTCAATAGAGAAAATCAATGAAATCAAAGGCTGGTTCTTTGAAAAGATCAATCAAATTGATAAGGCTCTAGCCAAGCTAAGAAAATAGAGAAAAGACACAAATTACAAATATCAGAAATTAAAGAGAAGACATTACTACAGATACTGTGGATGTTAAAATGATAATAAAGGAATATTATGAGCAACTCTGTCCACAAATTTGATAACCTAGATGAAATGGACCTATTCCTTGAAAGACACAAGCTGCCAAAACTCACACTAGAAAAAATCTAGACAATCTGAATACACATTTATCTATTAAAGAAATTAAATCAATATTCAATAACCTTCCAAAAGAGAAACCATCAGGCCCAGATGTGTTCACTAGTAAATTCTACCAAACATTTACAGAAGAAACTGCACCAGTTCTTTACAATCTCTTCCAGAAGACAGGAGCAGACAGAATAGCACCTAACTCATTCTGTGAGACCACAATCACCCTAAGACCAAAACCAAACAAAGACATTACAAGAAATAAAAACTTAGGCCAATAATCTCCTTTGCTATGGTTGCTAAGTTCAGGATTTCTTGTTGGAGCTCTTCTCCTCTTGTTTTAAGTCTTGGCTCTGAACTCCTGTGCATATTAACTTTTCTGAGTATTAAATCCTCTTTGCTTTTATGGAAAGCCTCCTGAAGATGTACAGATCAAGAAAATAACATATCACTGTAGCCTCCCTGTCTTCTCCACTTGTCCCAACATTATCATCTTGACTGGTGAAAAGAACTGCACAGAGAAGGTTCTATGTTCTGGCTCTTACTTCACTCGGGTCTCTGCACAAATGTCAACATTTCAGAGAGGCCTCCTCTGACCTCCCTACCTAAAACATCCCTCCTTCCCCCACTGGTCACTCTTTCCACTTCCCCTATTTTGTATTTCTTCATACTACTACTACTACTACTACATATTTACTTGTTCACTGGGCAGTGTCTGCCACCTCCTCAGACTCTAAGTTCTCTGAGGACATAGTCTTTGTTCATTGCTTCATCCTCCGTGTACAGAAGAATGCTTGGCACATAGTAGGATCTCAATAAATAGTTGTTAAATGAAGGGATCATTCAGTGAATCCGTGAAATTGTTGTTGCATAATGACGTAGAGAGCTGCTATTAACTTACTGCTTTCTCCAACTTACAAGAATGTACTGAAAGCTGCACATTTCCTTTGATCTTACCTTTGGTGTGATGACTCAGGGCCATGGCTAGTGTTCCCGTTAAGTGTGATGAACACCTAACCACCTCCAAATTTGAGCCACCAAAATGACCAAAGCCCAAATACTGCAGAGGTCTCCTCCGGCCCCAGCAGCTTAGGAACAGACTCCAGGTGGAAGTGCTCACTCAGGAAATGATCTTCTACTCAGTATAAAGGGAAATGAACAAGGGATGGGTTATGGGCCTGCCTTGGGTTCCCTCTGCATGACTTGTCCAGTAACCATTGCCTTTTATCATCTCCTCCTTTGGGAAAGAATTCCTTTCAATAACCACATGATCACCATACTCAGCAAACCCTGCTGATAGTTTCCTCTTAAACATTCAAAAAGTAGTTTTAAATTTACAGAAGATAATGAAATACTTAAAAACACAGACACACAGTCTCTTACCAGCATCTTTATTTGCACAGTAGAGGTCTAAGAGTTGATGGTGCCTGGTTCATGTAATGCCACAAAAACTGGTGATGGTGAAGGGATATGCTGCTTTCAGAAGCCACAGAGGTGAGATAAAGGTCTCCCTGCTCAGGCACTATCCCTTCTACCCAATTAGAAATGTGCGGGCCTTCTGGAGAAGTGAAATGTCATTCCTCATATAACCACCCTTCTCTTCCCACATGCTTATGAAGTAAGTCAGTCTCTTCATTGTGAACCATAATTACTTGGGTATAGAAATCTCTATTTCTTTAACACACTGTGTATAAATTCAACTAACTGGGGTTGTTGTTAGCCACTAATGTTAGCATAACATCATTGTCAGTGCTGTGGGTCGCACAGATGAAATAGACAATGACCTTGTTTACCCTTAACCATTCTGAACCCCTTTCAGCTCTCCAAGATTTGGCATCCAAATAATATTGCTTTTTTTCCTAACCCTCTAGAAAATTTTAGAAACATAAAGTGGACCATGCCTCAAACACAAGAAGAGAAGCATTAATGGAAAACATGAAGCAGTTACCTTGTCTCTCTCTGGGGATCAGAGATGTAATTTCCCCTATGGTTTTATTATTATTGTTATTATTATTATTATTAATCCTCACCTGAGGATATTTTTTCCATTGCTTTTCAGAGAGAGAGAGAGAGAGAGAGAGAGAGCAGTGTGAGAGAGACACATTAATGGTTGCCTCCCGCACGCTCCCTGACCAGGGCCGGGGATTGAGCCTGCAACCAAGGTACGTGCCCCTGGCTGGAATCAAACCCAGCACCCTTCCATCTGTGGGCTGACGCTCTAACCAATTAGACTAACTGGATAGGGCTTCCCCTATAGTTTTTTAAACGTCATTTTAAATTTCAGGTAGCGAACATGTGAACCAATATGGGCTAAATTGGGAGTGTTAACAATGTGTGATTTTAATGAGGAAACTCTGAAAGGGGTCCTTTTCAGGAAGCACACTGTAAAGGAGTTTTCTAGACAAAGAGAAAATGCACTTCTTACCTCCTACCAACAAGTAGCTGTTGGGAAACAGTGTTTTTGCTTGCATAAGTGCCCTTGCATGGCCTGAGTGGAAGAGGTCAAATATTCCATCCGCATACACTCTGACAGGCCTGTCCACTGTGGGAGGGAGAAAACATTGTCAACAGAACTACAGAGTAAGGGATCCCAGTTACCCGATTCTTCCATCAGTACGGCACTGTGGGAAGGTTTGCCTGGACAAAATACAAGGTCTACATACCATCAATTTCATATTAATGCAGGAAATTAACTTGACAAAGAGGTTCTTCTGAGGACATCGAAGCAGAGTAAAAACATAAAATTAAAACTGACCCAGAACACATTTTTTTAATTAATAGGAAAGATAACCACAGAACACTGGGGAGTTCTCTTGACCCAGACTGGAGTCTCAGGTATCTGAGCCAGCACATTCAGACAGACCAGGCATACCCCGTGGGAATGTCAAGGCAGGAGTGACCGAGGAGCTCAGTGAAAAGGACAAATGGCTTCATCCCTGAGTCTGGCAGTCCTGAATGAAGACCCCTGAGTCCTGTTCCCAAAGGCAGTGTTGTGAAGGGGTAGCTCATACCGCTCTAAGAGACAGTTGTGCACCTTTATTTCCAACTCCAAGTCACACTGGTAGCCTGAAATCAACCTTGGGAGGAATATTTGCACCATAGAAATTGGCAAACACCACAAGAATTACAGAGAGAGAAAAAAAGATATAATACCCTAAGGGCAAAAGAAATAAGGAAGGCAATGAGAGTGAATGAGAGATGTCCAAAACATTTTGGAAAGCTGGTTGTCAAATGCTGAGTGCCTACAGGGAGCAAGACTCTGGGGTGGGGTATGTAGGCAACGGGACTGCTGGGTTGTATTTTTTATAAGCCTAAGAGTCTTACTGACTTTTTAAACTACATACATGCATTATGTTGATGCTATAGGAATACATTTAACAAAAGAAATCAATGCAAACTTCAGTTGAGTGATCTTTAAGACTTAGATTTAAACTTGTGATTATGTTTTGATGTAGTACAACCTCAGTCATTTGGAACAGAAATTAAAAGAATTGTTACATTAATAGATTTAGATGGTAAAGTGCTTCTAATAAATGTTTCTAATAAAAAAACAAACAAAACTTGAGGCTTTATGTCAGATAAGGAATTGCAATTATTTCCAATTATATACCATCCTGAACAAACAGAATTGCCTTTACAGGATTGTCCTGTGTTCTAAATAAGGCCCAGTAAATAGAAAATGCTGTGAGATAACAAACTGCCTAATGAGGGCTCCTTGGTTTCAATGCCCTATTCAATTCGAATTCAAGTGAGGAAAATTTGTTTTAAGTTATAAACTCCAGAGGAAAGCAGATGGCAGTTTCGCAGAACTTTTTCTTATTGATTCAGAGGTGATCAAGATAAATGGATTCAGCAAGCAGGGAGGAGAGAAAAGTAAAGAAAGATGGCATAATTACTGACAAAAAGGCCATTTAGTACATCTTTTAACAGCATTTGTGGAGTTGACTTTGCAATAAGCTCACTTTTACAACTGTAACGTGTCAGCAATTCCCAGACTGGGAAACTCTACAGG